ATGCCCGGTTTGATTTTTCATCTCAGCGTCTGGCAAAATGTCTGGTATAAATCAGACATCAATACACATTTGATGAATAAATAATAAATGACATTCCTACTGGGAATACAATGTGCTTTTCTGTCAGCACACATATTCTAGTCTTCTTGGTATTTCTTTTTTATTTCTCATTACACAGTAATCCATGACTAGATATTCATATTCAGGTTTATTAGTTTCTTGTGTGTTGGTGAACATGATCCAATTCCATACAATCTTTTAGGAGAATGCATTTCTTTTTTTATTTGTCAATTTAGGAAGTAGGACCTTAATCCCTAAAGGTAGAGGCTTAGTTACCTTTGCCATGAATCAGCTTAACTGGAATTAACAGCAAAAGTAATAATTTATGATGTCATCTCACAATTATTGAATAAAAATATTTTTCTATTTTCTTATGAGTGAAACACAGCCAAGGAAACTATCACAAGAGCAAACAGACAATCTACAAAATGGGAGAAAATATTTGCATGCTACATATCTGATAAAGGACTGATAACTAGAATCTACATAGAACTCAGGAAAATCAGAAAGAAAAAAAATCAAACAACCCCATTAAAAAGTGGGCAAAGGACATGAACAGAAACTTTTCAAAAGAAGACAGACTAATGGCCAACATTAGACATATGGACAACATATGAAAAAATACTCAACATCTCTAATCATGAGGAAAATGCAAATCAAAACCACAATGAGATATCACTTAATTCCAGTGACAGTGGCTATTATCAAAAAGTCCCCAAACAGTAAATGTTGACATGGATATACAGAGATAGGAACAGTCATACACTACTGGTGGGACTGCAAACTAGTACAACCTTTGTGGAAAGTAATATGGAGATACCTCAAAGAGCTACAGGTAGAATTACCATTTGATCCAGCAATCCCAATACTGGGCATCTACCCGAAGAAAAAAAAGGACATTCTATAAAAAAGACATCTGCATTAAAATGTTTATAGCAGCACAAGTCACAATTGCAAACATATGGAAACAGCCCAAGTGCTCATCAATACATGAGTGATTAATAAAATGTGGTATATGTATACCATGGAGTTCTACTCAGCCACAAAAAACAATGGTGATCTAGCACCTGTTGTATTTTCCTGGATACAGTTGGAGACCATTCTACTAAGTGAAATATCATCAGAATGGCAAAACAAGCACCACATGTACTTGCCATCAAATTGGTATTAACTGATCAACCCTTATGTGCACACATAGGAGTGACATTCATCGGGTGTCTGGCAGGTGGGAGGGGGAAGGTGGGAATGGATATATTAACACCTAATGAGTGCCGTGTACACTATCTGGAGGATGGACACACTTTAAGCTCTGACTAGGGTGGCAAAGGCAATATATGTAACCTAAACATTTGTACCTAAACATTTGTATTATTTCAGTAATATGCTGAAATAATAATAATAAAACAAAAAAATTAAAATAAACTAGAAAAAAAGAATTAAAATTTTAAGTTACAGTTTGATTACATTTCATATAGTCAGTCTTTCTTTTAGCAATCATGTAAATCAAACAATGAGACAATAGACACTGTCACAATATAGGACAACTTTTACTGAACTACCCTTTTATTTAATGTCCAGATTAGATTTGTCCTAATTGAATAATAATAAAAACCTTTGATGGTGAGTTCTCATGTCTGTTCCTTATTGTTATAGAAATTGTCACTAAATTAATTAACTATAATTTCTTTTAACATTTATTCTAATATCCCTTGGCTTTAAGAAGCTACCTTGTTTTGAGATATTAATATTTTTGGTAACTATATTCCTCTGGTCTTTCATTTCTATTAATATTCAACATGAAGTAGAATGCCTTTAAATGCCAATAACTGTCCCAGTTCATCCATAATTCATAAATCCCTTTTCAACATGTAATTCATAGGTATCAGTATTGCCCACTGACTCTAGAATTAAAGTGAGATAGAACAGAGGCAGGCAGCACTGGAAAATAACTGTCAGTTTCCGTAACCTTATAAAAATTAGCTGGTTAGATGAAGTTCATATTACTTCCATGTCAAGGAGGAAAAGCTATTAGAGGCACCCTATGGATCCAAATTTCATTTTATTTATTTTTATTTACATTTTTACACTGTTTGATGAGATAAAGCTCTTAAGAAATACTGTATCATTTGCAAGATGAGTTGCTGAATCTTAAGAAGGAAGTAGTCCTAACCATGACAAATGTCATTCTCAAAAATGAATTTTAAAAATATTTACAACTGCCCATCAAAAGTGTAGCTGTGCTCATAGAAACAGGGCTACATTTTAAAGTGGAAAACCAATGCATGAGTGAAATATTATGCTTTTACTTAATCAATGAATATTGATAAAGATAACCAATAGATACCCCTTTAAGGGTTAAGATATTTTAATTTAATTCTCCTAATGATGAAGAAACCTTTATTACAATGCAGATAAAAATATTTTACAACTAGAGATGTCTTAAGCAATTTAATTTGCTTCATTTCGTATTGCACAATACAATGACCACCCTTTGTGACAAAAAGCTCCAAAACACCTTGGAATTTTCTGGGTGACAGGAGCATCTTTTTTCTAATGAAGCAACTTTTGATGGGCTCCTGGATAGCTTCAGGATAGGGGCTGGTCACCAGTTAGAACAAGCCATGATTAGAAGCTTGGGCCTGTTAGCCCCACCCCCATTCTCTAGGGATGGAAAAGGAGCTAGAGATTGAGTTAATAACCAATTATCTCTACATGATGAAGCCTCCATAAAAAGTTCTAAAGGATGAAATTTGGAGAACTTCCAGGTTGGTGAGCACATCCATGTGCTGAAAGGGTTGTGCACTTCAACTCCATGGGAACAAAAGCTCCTGAACTTCAAATTCTTCCAAACCTTACCCTATGTACCTCTTCATCTGGCTGTTCTTCTGTACCCTTCCCTTTGTAATAAACTGGTAGATGTAGGCAAGTGTTTTCCTGGGTTCTGTGAACCATTCTAGCAAATGATCAAACCCAAAAAGTGGGTATGGAACCCTCCTATTTATAGCCATATAGTTAGTCGGAAGAACAACCTAAATTTGTAACTGGTCTCAGAGGTTGTGGGGGAGCAGTGTTGTGGAACTGAGCCCTTAACCTTTGGGGTGTACTAACTCCAGGTATGCAGTGTCAGAATTGAATTGAATTGTCAGAATTGAATTGAATTGTAAGACTGGTGTTGGAGAACTGTTGCTGGTGTTGGAGAATTGGTTGGTATAGGAACACCTCTGCCCTCCATCACGCATCTACATCTGGTGTGGGAAGTATGGTGTTCTAGAAGTACTGTGAATGAGGGTATAGAAGAGAACTATTTGTTTTGTTCCTGTAAAGTTATTGACTATCTATCTTTTAATAGATAGTCAATAGATATTGAACCTTCTCACAATGACTACCAACCTTGTCAAACAGGCAAACATGGTCAACTCTGAGCTCCAGTATCACCTCCTATTTGACGGCATTTTCATCTATTGCTGCCTTTTCCCCAAGAGAGCTATGCAGTCCCTGTTTGTTTACCTAATGAATTCTGTTAAAACTCAGTCATGGTGTTTTCACCAATGCCCCATCCTGAACTTGTTTACATGTCTGCCGTGGCCAGGCAAATGAGAATATCTTAATAACAAAGATACTCCTTGTACATTGAATTAGGGTAATTTGGGGGAGAATATCAATTTGTGTGTGTGTTTCTTTTTCTTTTTTTTTTTCTCGTAATAGATTTAGGGGGTATAAGTTGAATTATGTTATATGTATACATGGCATAGTGATGGAGTCTGGGCTTTTATCATACCCATCACTCGAGTAGCATACATTGTACCCCATAGGTAAGATGGATTTAGGTTAATAAGGTTGATTTTGAGAATAAAAAAGGAGCTGTGGCAGAAATAACATTGTCAATTCAGATCAGTAGGTATGCTGAGTGTATAGGATACAGTGATAAATATGACAATGTTCCTGTGCTAAAGAGGTGGAAAAATCTACAAGGAATGCTGTATCTGAACACCAAAATTCTGACAGAGTTACGAGCATGATATAAAGTTATATTCACATTACATAGAATAAAATATGTAGATGTAAGTTTTGTAAACATAAAAATAATGGCTGAATTTATGACATAGAATAAGTTCACATCAGAAACATATATACCAAAATATCCCAAAGTAATCTTAAGATTTCTATTGGAATTTCAAGAACGAATTCTTTCCTTAGATTTTACCATCTAGGTAAGAGTAACAAGTAATCCAGTGATTAACTGATGAAAACATGAATAACTAAAAAATGTATGACTTGAGAAATTGACTGAAAGTGGTAGGAAAAAAATCCATCAAACGAAAAACTCAGCTAATGGTCTATGGTGTATGCTCTGTCCTCCTCTAAAAAAATGCACAAAGTTTTGAATATTTTAGCAATGATCTCTTCTTCCCCACCCTGAGCCTGTGTTGTAATGCATATTCAAGTTTAATCATATCATCAATACTGAAGTCCTTGAACATAATTGATAGGACAGCATTGAAGTAATGCTCATTCAGTACCAACTTTCTGGTCCAGCAGAGGGCATTGAAAGGATATCAAGAACATGCCCATGTCATGGAGGGGTTGGGGAGCCAAAATTAGGTAACTGAGAGTGGAGATGGCAAAATAAATAGTGAAATATGGCACAAAGGTAAGAAGAGAGCCTTACCCACAATCTGCAGCATCACTGTCAGACTTACACACACACACACATTGAATTTGTATAAAAACGACAGACAACTTATGCAGGTGTTTTTCCAGGGCACATGAACAAGTTCATTTAGTCCAAGGAAAGCCAGATGCCTACCCACCAAGAGATCTCACAGAGTGATACTAACTTGGTAATTCCACCATGTCCAGATGTTGATCTTGAGTTTTGCTAAATCTAGAGCTCTCCAGTGCCCTCAAAACTGAGGATAACTTTTGAAAATTATACTCACATGGAACAGAAGGCATACAGGAACCATGACCTCAAATGCCAGACCAGTCCATAGGGCTTTCAGGCAGTCTATTCTTAGGAGTGCATCTTAAAAAGAAAGGAAAATAAAGAGTTATTTATATAATTCAGATGTTTAATTGCATAATCCTTCTGACTCTACTCCAAGAATATGCAAGTAGACAAAAGGACTCAATTAATTAGGTGGGGTTTTTTATCTCTATTTCCTCCAGAATTTATTTTTGCAGTTTTCTCTGCTTTGATTAATCCATTCAATCAAGACTTGTCTCTGATATGACAACCATTCTGCTTCTGCTCTTATCCAACCTGAGTTTCCCTATTCCAAGTTTTTGGAGGAAAGAAGCAGGGGTGGAATTTACCACTACACATATACCACCTACATCTTCTATAATGTTTCATCTTTTACACTCTCAGATTCATGACTGGTCTTAGATATACACAAACAGGTAGAAGTTTTTCAATCTCCTCTGCAGACTTTTGGAAATCTCCACATTTCCTCAGCTAATGCCAAGATACTCTTTCAACATCTTTATGTGTGACATTGATCTGATTAGTCCCTGTATTTTGAATGTGTATTAAACCCACAAGGAGAAAAATAAATATTGATGTAAATCTACAGATGTTAGCAAACTTCCCCCCTTCCTAATCCTTTAGATAAAGATCATGGATAAAATCACTAATGACATCTTATACCAACAAAATTATACTTTTGTATAATAAGCTGGATAAAGCAAGTTTTGGGTTAATTTTTTTTACAAAATTCAATTTTGTGGTCCCTCAACTGTTGAAATAAATCCGCATGATGCTAAATAACTTATTCCCTTCTCAACATCTGCAGTGAATGTTTTCAGAACTGAAGAAGTTAGACACACAGGCGTGCTCACATGCTCAATAGTGAGAGGACTAAAAAAATATTCTTAAATTAAAATGTTAAATGTAAGCATTTCTTTATAAAATTGGACACTCTCATATCACTAAGTCATAAAATAGTACTTCTCCACATTTCTATGTTTTTACAGTGTACTTTCAAATTTAGTGTTTCATTTGATCTTCATTATAAAGATAGTTTAGTATCCCTGTTTATAGGGAACTGAATAGTTACAGAGATTAAGAATTTTACTCAAAATGATTCAACTAATAGGTAGCAGATCCAAACTGAGAACTAAAACCAAAACCCATGTTATCTGAATGAAAATCTAGAGCAATTTTCTTTTTTTTTTTAATTTCAGAATATTATGGAGTTACAAACATTTTGGTTACATATATTGCCTTTGCACCGCTCAAGCCAGAGGTACAAGTGTGGCCGTCTTCCAGATAGTGTGCTTTGCACTCATTAGTTGTGAATTTACCCATCTCCTCCACCTGCCCAGCACCTGATGAATATTACTTCCACATGTGCACCTAAGAGTTGTTCAGTTAGTACCAATTTGATGGTTAGTACATGTGGTGCTTATTTTTCCATTCTTGTGATACTTTACTTCAAAGAATGGGCTCCAGCTTCATCCAGGATAATACAAGAGGTGCTAGATTACCATTATTTTTTATGGTTGAGAGCAGTTTTTAATATACCAATAACATGATGTCATTTGCCTCACATTATAAGGAAAAAAATTGTAAAAAAAGAAAAGTATCAATGTTCATAGGAAAAATATTTGCTTTTACATTCTTCTCCATAATCCTGTTTCAAATATCTCCATCTAATGTTATCTTTTCCTAATTATGAATAACCATAATGAACTCCACTAAAATAGTGTTAAAGTAAAAAATAAGACTTTACAATACTATACATACATTATATTAATATTAAGGCCAAGGTTATCAGCAGAATAAAAACTCTGAACAGGTGGAGAAATAAGAAAAACATCTACAATAAAATCCATGTTCTGAGCTCAATTTTATGTTTTTAAAATTGGCAGAGGGTCACAATGAAACTTACTCTTCATGAGCAAAAAGTATTGTTATCTGTTCTTTCAGACCTAGGCTTGGAGTAGCAAAAGTAAATAACGGCCTTGTGCTTTCTATGAAGCTTCCACAAGTCTCCCCCAAAGCTACTGATAATGACTTCTTGTCAAAAGGAATATAGGAAAACATTTTTTTTTCCATTCCTCTGGAAGTAGGTCTGCATTGTTTCAGAGTTGTAGTCACAAACCTGGCCAAGTTGGCAAGTGGACACTCAGTGCCCTCCAGCTCTCTGAGGCAAATCAGAGCCTTAAATGACAGCAGCAGCCAAAATACTCTCTTGTACCCTTCAGATTCTCTAGCAGTTTCACAATTGCAGTAATGTCATTGAATTCATTGACATAGATCTGGTGTGTTACACTCAAATTGTAAACAGAAAAAATAGTATCACAACTTAATATTACGGTGTCTAGTAATATGTGCAAATTTATATGTATTTTATACTGCTAATTTGTTTTCTTAATAATAATCACTGTCCACAAAAAGTTTTCATTCTCTCTTTGACATAAGATGAAATCAATTTGGATTTTCTAAAATTTCCATTTAATTGCTTAAAAATGGATTTGTGTAAACCGAGACCCAGAATCTGGCCCACTCTGCTGACCTGCTATCTGAATTTAGGAGCATTACTTCTTATCTCTAAGTCCCAGCATCCTCATCTGCAAACTGGAAATAATGATAACACTCATTTTGTAGACTTATTTAAAGGATATAATCCATATAAACTCCTAGTGTCAGGCATAGAGAACATACCTAGTGAATATTAGCTTTTATGGTAAGTTGGTTTTATTATTGATAAATATCTCAAGTACATTTTAGCAATTATTATTTGCAAGAGACTCTTACATCCCTGTACTATTTTTACTGTTTATTGATTTTTTCCCTATTTTCTAACATATGTATTTCAGATAAGTAATTTCCATTTAAGTTGTTTTGAAGAAGAAAAGAATTACTAAAATAATAGATAAAAGATACTTTGCCACATAGGTTTACCCTTTAGGGTTAAGATCAATGTAGGAGGCTCAAGGCCTTTGCATTAAGAGAAAGAATCCATAATTCATAACATAAAAACAAACATTTTGTAACATCATAAAATGACACCTATACCATCAACAATACTTTTTTTTCTTTTGACAATATTTTCCCTGTGAAAAATTTGATTTTCAGTCAAGATAATGATTATTGCTTATTTGAGTAGCTCAAATAAGCTACTCATCCAGGCCACCACCACTTCTGAGGGAGTCATTAGAATGACTAGTGGTTCTCTGGAGCCTTTCCCAGACTGACAGGTTGTCACCTGTGCTGAGATAACTGACAACGGGGTCTGGAACTACTGCTTTGCGTGGGTCTCAGCCTCTGCGCCTTCCCATGGGGTGTAGGCGGCAGAGGCTGTAGGCCCTGTTCTGCATTGCTGTCCTGTGTCTTATAGTTACAGACAGAATGGCTCATCATATGGCCTAGACATGTGTGTCTAAGGTGATAGCCACTAGTTACATGTCACTATTTAAAGTTGTTTCTATTAACTTAAGTTAAATCTAAAATGCATGTCCTCAATTGCATTTGCAACATTGTGTCTGCTCAATAGCCACCTGTGGCTAGTGGCTACCACATTGAACAGCACAGATGTGAAGCATTTCCCTTATTGCAGAAAGTTCTATTGGGCAGTCCTGGCCTAGACCTTGGGAGAACAAATGATGAGCAAAGCCTGAAGCCGAGCATCACATCTCCGGGATTCGATGAGAGGTAGTCAGCTCTTGTTCTTATGTTTATTCTCTTGTTCTCTGTATGCTTCTCTTGTTCTTACATTTATTTTTATAATTTCTTTACCAAATTAGTCCTGATTTCTTATTTGTTGTGTTCTCCTTTGTATCTTTAGGAATTTAAGTCAAGAAATGTTATTTCTCCTTGTGGAAGAATGAAAGGGATATGCTGTATATATGGATCACTGAAATCCACAGAGAAATATTTGGTTATTTTATTTATATGTTGTATCATGTTTATGGAGGAATGCTTTCTCACCCCTACTATGTGTTTGTATACACCGTGGCTCCTCAAAACTTCACTGACTGAATTTCTTTCTATTTGAAAATAATTTAAGATAGTATCACTATATTAAATTGCCTATTTAAAATTTCAGAGTGTTTTCCTAAAAATGTCCCTTTTATGAGCTCATAAGATTTCATTCACAATGCTTAATATTAATATATCTGGGACTTGTCATGTCTCTTATTATTAAAGTTATCAAGAGAATCCATGGGCTGTAAAACTCTAGAGAATAGTACATTTGAGACATGCCAAGCAACTGTCCCTCCTTACTTCTGATGATAAAAGGCATCCTAGACGAAGGGCTGCATTAAATGTTCAGATGATATTCTGTTCACCAAAGAGAGCCAGCTGTTTATACTTGGCGGCAGACTGCAACAGAATTATCTCATTTGCAAATCTTGGGATATGGAGATGCAGATAAATGTTAGCACTATAAACCAGCAAATGTAGACTGAGCAGTATTCTTAGTATTTGGAGGAAGACTTTGTATTTCATATTTGTGCATATGGAGCTTTGAAAACTTATTCATAAACACGCCATCTGAGCAATATGGCACATGAGGCATTTTTTAATATGGCCAAAGTTGTATTATGATATTTCCTTGCATAATGTTATACAAACAAATATTTTAATATTCCACTTGTATAAAATGTGAATAAGAAAGGTGTTTAGCAGTGGAAACAAGAATTTGTCTGGCATGTGTTTATAATAAAATGTGTGTTTTCTGCCAATCAAATGCCTTAGATAAAGACAATATTACTCTTTCTCAGGGGACAAAGGCCTCCATTCAGTAGGTAATGACATGTTAGGATTTATTTGGTAAATTTACTTGGTTAACACATTCATATCTTGGCCTTCACAAAAAGTTCAGCATTCAAGAGGAAAGAGTGTATTCGTAGGAGATTTGTTTATGAGTCTGAAAACAAATATGAGGAACTCAAAGGATTGGTCAATAATAACTTTTGAAAATATGAGATTCAATTTTAGCCCAAGAATTTTTTTTAAATTGGGAGAATAAAGATCTTCATTCATAGTAAAAAATAAAAATACTACTTTTCCTTGAA